ACGAGATAATTTTTTTCTATCTGGAGGAGTATACATAGGATTTAATTTAAGTAAAAATTCTTTGAAAAAAATATTATCAATAGTCATAAATGACATTCCATTCATAACAAATGCTCGAACTAATGTTCGATCGATTGATTGTTTTTCACTTGGTAAAATAGCACGTGTGCCGAACTGATCCATGTTCAATTGTTTACTGCATTTTGGTGTCGTCATTATTAATGATTTAGACGATATGGATGCTGTTGCTGATGTTAAATGATGGGCTTTCAGACGTTTACTGTTACTAGTATCAGTTGTACTACTGTTTAACTTGACAAGTATTTCTTTTAGACCATTTGGATTGATACTTGATATGTGTTCACATTTATGTGAGATGTGCCGATACATCATCGGTAATTTTGCAAATTGAAATGAGGTATTACAATATTTACATTTACATTTTTTATGCCCAGCTGTTTTAGCATCACCATAATCATCAAAATGTGCCCATATCTCGTCACGTGTTAGACCACCAGCACCCTTTGGCGAGCTAATTACTTCAATATCTGGATTCAAGTTTGATTCAGTACCGCTAGCATACATTTTTAATCGAAATATTTTCTTCAGTTCAGTTTAGTTTTCATACAGAATAGATAGTGGAAATATGATATCATAAGAAGACAAAGGTCTAAATATCTCGTAAAACTAGAAGAAAGAAGTAACGTCAAAAAAGCTCTCAACACTCCACACTACAAAGATTCTTTTACGATGATATATCTACGTACATATAGATATAGATATAGTGAACGATTATACCATGATATATTCACCATGAATATCGCATGGCTTTCTGTCAAATATAGTTAAAGATTGTACAAACATGAAATTTGTTGGTAGAGCAGTTGGAAATAAGTATTTGTAAATCGAATATTGTACAAACAGTTTTATTTTCTTTTATTTTACAACCGTATTAGGTGGTGCGAAGAAAAATAAAAATTCTGACATATAAGAACGGAAAAATTAGGAGAAGTACTATCTATATATACATATCAACTGGAGTTATAACTATCAACTTCGGTTGGTAGTTATAACTATTTGAAAGTTTTGACCAAAAGTTAAATTAGTTATAACTCCAACAAGTTATAACTTAGGCAGTTTTAAACCTATCAGCCATTAGAGCACAGAACAATTCGCCTCTTTATATACTTTCCAATAGACTTTTAGTTTTCTGACTACACTCACTCCACAAGTATCTCAAATGTGGGTTTCTTTTGGATTCTTTTTAACAGCTTCTAAAAATGGAAAGCTTGACGTTTAAAAGGTGTTTTCGTATTTTTGCGCTCAACAAAGCAGGTTTACAAAAACCTAAATAACGTTTGACAGGAAAGTGACAGATTTGTCGCCAATTGGAAACTAAGACCGGACTGCATCTTTCCGTCGAGAAAGTCATTATGAAAATTGTTTTTCAAACTATTTTTTCCAGAAAATCTTTACAAAAGTCAGGTTCTGACTCAAAAACTTGAAATACAGATGTTTTGATTTTTCTTTATACGTCAACAGTCTAAAGTGTGCTCTTAAGAATGGGAGCTAAGCGAGACTTTGATTTTCAACAGTTCAACCATGGTGCTGCATTCCCTTGGAGTCCCAAGAACGTTATCCTATAACTTGGGTTAACCTTGTAATTGCATGGAACATAATTCTGATTACGCTGAATATAATGACATTGTTTATTTTTAGACAAGAATGCAAAAGCCTGGTGAAAATGGAGTTTTGCAGAAGCTGCCGTTCTCAGGCTATTTTCGCCTAGTATGAACATGCTCTGATGTTTTGTGAGTGAAATTGTAAATCTTTTAGTATTAGGCGAAAATAGCCTAGGAACGGCAGCATCTGAAAAAGTCAGTTTTCACCAGGCTTTTGCATTCTTGTCTAAAAATAAACAATATCACTAGATTCAGCGTAATTCAGTTATCTATATCCCATGCAATCTTAAAGTTATCGCAAGTTATCGGATAACATTCTTGAAATTCAAAAACTTTTTCCGTATTTTTTACTCATAAAGCAGGTTTTTATAAAAAGGCTTTCTAAGTGGCTAAAAAACTAAGAAAGCTTTTATCTTCCCAATGAAAGATAGTGGAGAGTGCAGCGATCTCTCAGTTTGTAGAGAGACGCTTTGGAGTATATCATCATCAGACTAGGTTCCACTGTGAGAAGTATAAAAGTATTATAAAAAGTTCAGCTAATTTCGGATCGGATAGCCAGAGTAATTTATATATTGGTGCTGGATAGAAAAATGCAAAAGAGTCTGGACGCTAAATATAGTAGAAGAATGATTTTTAAAATTGAAGAACAATCTTTTATTTCTAAATACTCATTCACACAGATTAGTGATCAAATCGATAAACTCTATCGAACACTGTAGTTGAAAACATTTTTGTTGACTTTTCAAGCCGGAACAAAATTACAAATTGGAATTAAACTTGAAAAAAATTAAATAATTTATTTATTGAAATAATGGATTTCTAAGATCTAAGAAATATAGGAGTCTGCACAAAATTACAAGCTCTATCGTTTTGACTTGAATAAAAACATTTCGTAGATAGGACGACTCCAAAGAAAAGTTTCATCCCGTTCTTTGAATGGCACTTGCTCACCTGCGGCAGAGAGTGACTGCGTGGAACTTTCTTGAGATTGACGTGAACAAATGCATGCCTTGATCCTCTGCCCGTACGTTTAACGAAAGATAATTTCGGTTCGTTGCTTGTAAACTAAAAATAAACCGATACATTCCACCAACAAATGGTAAATCAATATTGAAAATGATGACATTAATTTCGGAACGGAAAGGTGTTTTAATCAATAACTTGTGTTTTCAACTTTTGTTTCAACTTTTCTCCCTGAAAAGGTCGCACAATACCTATGAATGTTAGCATTCTTTCAGCATCAAAATTAATGAAACAATAACTGACCGAGCGCAGATTTTCATCGGATACTGAATTCTTATTGAGTTTTATTGTTTTTTGATTGTTTGGTCTAATGGCTTGAGCATGAATCATATGGAAGGATTGCGAGCTTGTAGCTAATAATGTCAACGCCAGAGCAAAAGACGGGTGAGTACAAGTTGAATAACTCGAGAACGGAAGCAGTTAGCGATCTCCGGTTTCCATCAACCGAAAGCGGACACTGGGGGAAGCAAAAGTATGTCATACCTGACTGGTCAATTGCTGATCAACCAAATATGACATACTTTGCATCCTCCAGTGTCCTCTTTCGGATGGTGAAAACCGGAGATCGCTAACTGTAGAATCCGAGTGTGAAGTTGACAGAAATCGAAGGGCCGAATCGCGTTCTGGTCAAATCGAAGTTGAACGCGAAGCCGGCCGTGCCGCTAATCGACAGCAAATGATCGAATCACGTTCTTGTCAAACAACAAAAACAAAGGAAAAAAACTCAAAACTCCACTCCTTGACTTGAGCGATTCGAAATGCGGAAGTAAAACAGGCTAAAACCGTACCACTGCCTTGGCCATCACGTATCCCGTACGACGTGAACCGCTCATGTTACGCAAATTTTTTAGAAATGACTTCAATCTTCTCCTTGCACAATATGCAACATGCGTGTTCTCGTCAAAGACACGGAACTAATACCACATCGGCAACTTCAAGAGTAAGTGTGGGTCTTTCCGGCATGAACAGTAAATGTTAACTTAATGACAAAAAATCTACCTGCTTGGGTATTTGAAACTACTGTTTAAAAGTATTTGTAGCCCATCGCAGACGTCGTTCGTGCTATTCAACAATTACCTTTTTTGCTATTTAGATTCAGTCTTCTCAAGCCTGACTATCGGATTCATAGCATCAACCCTGGAAGTCGACGAACATCTCCCATGCTTATCCCACACTTTATATACACCACGCAATATGTGCTATTTCATATTTAATTTTAGTGAGCCAAGCAAGCAAAAAGATGACGGAATGGATATTGATAGTGAAGAATCGGCATTAAGTGATGATGTTGATATTAGTGATATTGATGACAGTGTTGAAGGAGAGGACAGTTGGGATGATGAAGTATTGTGTGAGGAGACAAATGGGCATACAACAACAATTACATCAGAAGACCAAAAGAAGAATGGA